GTGTGTGCAATCTGTTGACAACTCTATTAGTTGCCAAGGGCTATATGTTGCATGGCTCTAAACTTCAAAGTTGTATTGACTCAGAATTTTTGAGGCTTGAAATCTGAAATGAAGGTGTCAACTGGCCCATGTGCCTTCAGAAAGCTCTAGGAAGAACCCGACCTTGCTTCTCCCTAGCTGCTGTGGCCCTTAGAAATCCTTGCTGCTCTGATGTGCATAAGCTTCACTCCAATCTCTGCCCCTATTGTCACATGGCTTCCCCTATGCATGTGTCTGTACATCTTGTCTTCTTCTCATAAGAATTCCAAGCATTGGGTTTAGGACCCACCTTAATCCAGTATGTCCTCATCTTCCTAATTACATCTTCAAAGATGTATTGACTAATAAAGTCATGTTCTGAGATTCTGAGTAAACATGAACTGGGTAAGGGCAATATTCAACCTGCTATCTTTATTATACTGATTGACCGACTGATTTTATTGTATGGGGTATTGAACTTAGGGCCGTCTGAGCCATAGCCCAATTTGTTTGAGACAGGGTCTTATCAAGTCACTAAGTTGCCCAGCTGGCCTCAAACTCATGGTCCTACTGCCTCAGCCTCTCAAAGTGCTGAGATTACAGATATGCATTCCCACCCCCAGGCAGCAGGATCAGTCATTATATGTGCTATGGCTTATATCTAGATGTCCCTTCGTAGCCTCAGGTGCTCCTAGGTGGAGCTTTAGGGAGGCAATTGGATCATGGGGGTGTGATGCTCACCGGTGGATGAGTCCATGGAAGAATTCATAGCTAAACATGATGCTGGGAGGTAAAGTCTGGCTGGAGGAGGTGGTTTCCAAGGAGGGAGGTCTATCTCCCTCCATTTTACCCTGATCTCTGCTTTCTACAATAGTGTCAGGAGCTCTTTCCCCTCTGTCCTGCTGCCCTGCCTTGGAACTAGCAGACTATGGCTGAAACCTTCACAAAACTGTGAGCTCAAATCAACCTCTCCTCTTTAGAGCCTAGGGAAGGTATTATATCTCAGCAATGAGAAAGGAACTAAGATCATATGCTAGGTGTCTCATCTTCACAAAAAACCTTCACATTTCAGTCATACAATTCCAAATCTAAGGTTTTGACCATGCGGTAGGTTTTCACTGTAGGTCCAGTGGCATTTCACATCCCCTCATTTTAGCCCCAGACTGATGGAGCATCAGGATTATTGCTGGTTGTCCTGGCACAGGACACTAAGCTTGGCAGTCTGTATTCCAGCTCTCACCTTCTGCTCAAAAAGACACAGCCATTTACATCTGCATTTCATGGGTCAGAGAGGTCATGTGGTAAAGCCTGCTGGTGCAGTGGTGTCTGGGAAAGGCAGTAACCACCTGTAAACAATAATCAAGTTATTACATCCTCCCGCATCATCCACATTGCTCCATCACGGTAGTTTTTTTTTTTTTCATTTTGAATGATTAAATGGAGACCGCTAAATGGAGACAAAAGAAATAGGACTAAAAATAAGTTTAGGGAAGATGGCTGCAGTTTTTTGTTTTGTTTTCAATTTATTTATTTATTTTTCAAATCAAATTGGTAGGACAGTTTCAATAATTAACACATTGCACACATTCTTCCTAGTGGTTAACTGCTGTACAAGATGCGACAAGATATCCTATTTATAAACACTATTAGAACAAATCCTCTCTATTCATTAAGAGAATGTAACTATATATCTATCCTAACCATTCTGAATACACAGATACAAAATGGACATTCATCTGTATCGCCTTTTGTTTAGTTCTGTCATTTGAATATTGTAGGTGTGTGAACTCAGCAAAATACTCTAAAAGAGTCCAGTAGTCCATAATAGTATTCAGCTCAGTCTTTATTTTATTTATTTTGGTGGAACCAGGGATTGAACTCAGGCCTTTGCGCTTGCCAGAGAAGCACTTACTCCACTGAGCCATCTCCCTGGCCCCTCAGTCCATAATAGTATTGGGTCTTCCACTTCACTGGCAATGTCAGAAATTGTTGACCTGAGTTCCCTACAGTTCAACATAATAGCATGGCTTTGCTTCTTATATTTTGTTTTTATACCTTTCTGCTGGATGGTTAAGACCCAGGTAAAGCAGGAGCTATGCAACAAGAGTTGTAGCTTTTGGGTCTGATAAAGTCAGTGAAATCCCCTCAGGATTTATCCTGAGATCCTGTACCTCAGATTGTAGCTCCTTTGTCAGTGTCTGGCTGTAGTTTTAGAGAGTTGACTATAAAGTATCTAGCAGATTGATACAAAAATCATCACAGTAGGTCATAAAACTATATTTGGAGTTACTTAAATGAAAATAAGTGTTTGATGTTGGATGTGTACTATAGTTGATTTTATAGAATCTCTATTTAAATTCAGAATAATTTAATTTCTAAATGAGGCATGAAAATAGAACTCTAAGCTGGGCACTGTGGCTCCTGCCTATAGTTCCAGCTATTTGGGAAGCTAAGGCAGGAGGGTCCCAAGTTCAAGGTCAGCTTACATAATTTAGGGTGAGATCCCATTTCAAAATAAAAAGGGTTAGGGATGTAGCTCAGTGACAGAGCCTCTGGGTTCAGTCCTCAATGCCATCCAACAACAATGGTCAGAACAATGAAATGCCTATTTATTTCTGAAGGGTGCCATATAGAAACTCAAGTTACTGATAAATAAAGCAAATATATAATTTGTTTTTTAATCATTTTATTTGGCATTATGTCCTCCATTCCACTGTTGCATGGAAGAATCAAAGTGCAGTTTAAAATGGAATTTGATTTTTAATAGCATACAATTTTGGCAAAAATGTCCAGAGACCAGAACAAATGGGAAAGCACAAAACATTTTAATGACAGAGAAGATCTGGAAAAACTAGGTCAATATTTAACTTGTCTAACTTATTTAACAGTTCCTTCCCACACCATTATCTGAAGGACAGAATGCCCCCAAATGAGCAAGACTCGTGAACAGGAGAGCTGAACCTAGTGGGCAAATGTAAAGAAAACAAATGTGTTTCCCAGTCTCATCACAATATTTGAAAAACTCAATAAACTAAATTAGCTCTCTGAGGAGAGAAAGTAGTCTGTGTTTGGAATCATCAATAATGCGGCGTATTTTCTTCCTTCCTTAAATTATTATAATTCATTAAGTTATGGCAGTTCTTAATTGCTTAGCCAAAATTTTCTATGATGAACTAGAAGATTTGTACATGGGAAAGTGGTGTTACCTATATCAGGACACTAAAAAGCCCTGAAACTGACATCCGCAAGGGATGTCCTCAGGTAAGTCAGGTCAAAACATGTGAAACTGTAAAATTCTGTCTGTGGTCAGTGTTATGAGGGAAAGGTAAGTGGTTCAAGAAAAGATTTAATGGCAGGATTTGGTAAAAGTGTCCTTAATGTAGGTGGAAAGGGGACAGCAAATGGACAAAAGTCATGCAGGAGAATGCCAAGGAGGAGAGAAAGAACACAAGCTGGGTGCAAGCCATAAGCGAGCATAAGAACCCAGGGTTTGGGGCTGGTGAGATGGCTCAGTGGTCTAAAGCACCTACTTACAGGGACCACAGTTCAATCCCCCAGCCCCACATGCCAGCCAGCCCCGCCCCCTGGTGGGCTGAGCTGGCCACACACACACACACACACACACACACACATAAATA